ATAAATTTTTTATATATAATTATTTTAAATTATTTTATATTTCGAACAATAATGATTCGAACACGAACGAACGCATCACTGTTCGAGTTTGGTTCGTTTAACTAACCGAACGAAAAAAAAAATTTGTTCACGTTCGTCTCATTTACTTATCGAACGAATAAAACACGAACTCATTGACGAACCGAACACGAACTGTTTGCGAATAACGAGCTTTTTTTTCAGCCCTAATTGTATCAATATCTAATACACAAACAAAAAAAAAAAAAAAAAAAAAAAAAAAAAAAACCCAAAATTTTAACATCAGAAATTTTTATGTTAAAAATACAAAAGAGATAAAATTACGATATCTAGCTCCATTGAAATGATTTCACTGTGTCAATATATGCAACACAATTTTACAGGTCCTTGAATGACCTGAAGCAATGTTACATAAATTGCACAAAATTTCGTTAAGTAGCAAAAAATACTGTGGTTGGCGGTTGCAGAAGCAGGAGATCTTCATTAGATCGTCAGTGTATGATCTTGAGATTCAGCTCCCTCTCCTCCAAACTCGGGCATTCTTCTTGCTCAGAATCTAGTTCCTCTTCTCAAGAATGGGGTATAACTCTATTTATAGAGTTCATGTTGTAAATGAGAATTGAATCCGGACCCTCTGATCGGACAACCCAGAGATATCCTCTTAAATGGACAGAATACATACTCAAACTAACTACAATATATAGTTCTTCCATTTTGCATGATTTTTTTTTAATATATAAGACAACAAACTAAGAAACAACTATAAATGGAGCGCAAATCATCTAAATAAACAAAAGAAATGAAGGCTATTTACTGTCACTATCACAAGGAGATCTAGAAGGCTAGCATTCTCATGTGCATATGCCGGCTCATTTTTTCAATGTGAACTATTTCATGGACTCTAGAATAGGATCACTCCTAACTATGAAGGAATAGGGCACAATAAAACAGCTTTGAACGCTATACGTGATATATATGAGCTACGGGAACAAATGAATCGTGATTACCATCCCAAAGAATACATAGGTATTAAGCAAACACAGCTCGGATCACCTATGATGAGCTCTATATATATATATATATATATCTAAAAAAAAAGAATGGCCTGAGGCTATTATCCTCGGCCATTCCCGATGCGCCTAACAATTCGAATACCACACCCTTCACCAAAAGGAATCAAACCCCAAACCAGAGGGGACTTACAACTGACAAGCAGATGTCTGACTAATATATATATATATATATATATAGGATTCAACAGAAATCGCACGAGGTAGATTAATAGAAACCTCTGGTAAAATACCCACCAGTACCCGTAACCCAACAAAGAAAGTACATTACATTAGGGATACGTATGTATATCTATATATATGTATGTATGTACATACGTGAGAGAGAGAGATTGGAAGCTATTATGGATGTTGATGCTAACCGGATTGAATTAGGAACTACTATAGTTTTCTGATTTGTTGTAATTTTAATTTACTATAAATAAGCAGTAATGATTTATTTCTATAATAGTATTGATTGCTAGGAAGTAATAGGCAACTCTATGTATATCTATCTATTGTTTGTATAAAAAAAAAATACAACTTTCTGAATAAGGCTTTTTATAACAGGGTATAAAAGCAAGGTTAGGATCCTATAATGCTCTTCCATTCTTATTGTCATTCCATCTACCAAAGTTGAGATATATATAATATAATTTCTCAACAAGAGATCTGATTATCATGGATTACGAGAACAAGGGCAACCTAGTCATGGAAAAATTTCATCATCTGCAAGTAGCATATCACTACAACAATAACAATAACAACAACAACAACAACAATAAAGACTTAATCCCACTAAGTGAGGTCGGCTACATGAATCCTTTTTCTCCATTGCATCCTATTTAGTGTCATATTTTTATTTAATTCTAATAAATTAAGATCAATTTTTATACAAAAAGCCCAAGTCTTCTTAGGTCTACCTCTGCCTTTCATAACATAAGTCGAATATAAAACATCTACTCTCATAATTGGATCCTCAGATGATCGATATTTAATGGGGCCAAATCATCTAAAACGACTCTCTAATTTTGTATGTCACTGGAGCTACACCAACCCTATCACGAATATATAAAGTTGCATATGACTAAATAAAATAATTCTCTGGAGTGATCCCAAACTATGAAGATCTTCTTAAAAGGAAAAGGGAGACTCAGCCGACAATTATTCTAACTTCTGAAGATTCAAAGTTTACCCTTTGGAATGAAGATGGCTCCATGATTTTGTCCTGAATATAAAACTCCATGATGCCATAAAACTTGATGAAGCTTTCTCCTAAGGGCTGAGGAACGTAGGAGAGTTATGTTGGAAGCTCTAGACTCAAAATGGACCAGCCATGGTGCCCAACAGTAAGAAAAGTTCATGGGCCTATTGCTGCTGAACTTTGCTGCTGAACCTACCAAAAATGATCAGCCGAAAAAAAAAAACTTCAATCATAAAGAGAAACAGTGGTGTATCAACTAAAAGAAGAAGGGCATATTGAAGAAAATTGCTTGCAAATTTATGGAAAATCTTAACACTGATGAATGATACAAGGAAAACCAATCAAAGCGTTAACTTTTTATACAATTCAGAACTCAACTCAGTCAAAATCAATGGGCTAAGAGGATTCATTAACTTGAAAAGTCCTCTAGATCATGCCTTAGACAAGCCAACCACGAAAACTTGGGTCATGAACAAATAAAAAATCAAGGTTGCTAATAGATTACGAACCACGCCTACATGTCAATTTCTCCTTCAATTCGCCCTTAAAAATGGGCTGAATATTCCTAAATTTGTCATAAGTTTCTCATGCATTCATAAAATAACTAAAGATCATAAACATCCAGTGGTATTCTTTGCTGATCAATGTGTTTTTCAAGACTAAATAACAAAGAAAATGATTAGGTAAGCTAGAGACGAGAACACATTGTACCCATGTGAAAATAAGAATGAACAAAGAAATTTATCATAGTTCTCTGTGTCTATCAATTCAATGTTTAGAAAGATTATCGCTATTTAAGATTTTCGTCTTTTAATAATATATGCCAACCTTGTTATTTAAAAATACTGATATTAAATATTTCCAATACAGAATTTATGAATTTACAGAACACCATCGGGTGAAATGAGACCATCAATTCTCTTTGTTTTAATATAATAATATTTTGGGAAACTAAAAATTCCTCGTCTCAAGGACTAAAAGATTTGCGACATTCAAATGGCCTCAACAGTATAAAAAAAAGATAACTTCGGAATAAGCAGATGTATTTTTGTTATGGCGATGGAGAACTTGTCCTTTTCTCAATCTACAGAGTTACTTGTTTAACATTCAGTCTTCTCTAAATACATATTTGAACCATCTTTGTCATCCAATGTTTGGACTAAACATATATAGCCCATTGATTATACCTTTTCTTGTATGCTAACACAGCAGGCCTACTGCCTGACAACTAATTCATTTGATAGTTCTATTATTTTACGCTCGCACCCTATACTTACATAGAAGACAATTCTAGATCACATATTGCATGCAATTTTGATCATCAGTCAATACAAGCGGTTGGCACCAATATTATGTGAGATTGTCTTTTAGAGGTCATGCAAAACCTCACAGTGCATCACATCTATTCTCACAAGAATCTTTTCCTCTACACTTTTAGGCTCCGTTTGGCAGAGCTTTCCTTTTTATAAAATTTTGTTCAAAAGTAGTTCTTTGAAAAGCCGTGTTGTAAAGTTATTTGGAGAGGAGAAACTTCTAGAAGAAAAATAGAGGTTTCTCAAAAGTGTTCTAATAAAAGTACTGCAACCAAATAAACTTTCTGATTTTTTCTTCAAAATGGAGCCTTACTGTAGGTTTTCACCTTACAAAAAAGGCCGTGCAAATTCAGTCACAGATAGCCAGTAGTCAAGTGATCACAACAAACGAGTTGATCCAAAATAACATTTACAACAGTGATTGTTAGGTATGGCTCATATACCAGATAAGGAACAGATGCTAGAGCGGAGCGGAAGCATCTGTCCAAATTGGAGAGTATCGTTAAGTGGGTTGGGGGTGCGGGGTCAACACCCCCGCAGTACAATATAGGGGTATTTTTGTAATTTCACTAAAAATTGTATTTGTAACCCTATGGGAACCAATTTTCACTTCTGGAATAGAAATTGCCGCTCCACTCCCAAGGACATAGGCACATTGTCGAACCTCATAAATCTCTTGCGTTTTTTAATCTTCTTGCGATTTTATTTTCACTTCAGTAATCAAACACAACTTAAGATCTATTGTGCAAAAAAAATTCTTGTTAGCACTTGGAAGATGAATAATCCAGTATTGATATTTGCATTTGGCGATATATTTAATGTGAGAGTGATGAAGAAATGCATAGCATCGCATCACTTCAGAGTCTTAAAATAATTCGGATATAATTGGGAAGGGGGGATTGACCTCTGGACTGATTGCAAACGAGTGAAAAGCAAAATTTGAAGAACTAGACAAGCACAAAAGTAAAAAATTACCACCTTTTGGTTTATTCCAAATTCAGATTGGTGGCCAACGAACTATGTCGCTGTTCAAATAATCAATGGAAAGATGAAGCTGACAAGTTACTAATGAAGCTTCACACAAAAAAACTTCGATCATAAAATTAATTAAACATGTAGATGATTTTCTTCTCAGACAATAAATGTACGGAATTAAAAAAAAAATGAAAAATTACTCCTTGCCTAGAATTAAATAACACAATGCAGCAACTGTTTGTTTTAGTATTCTAGAACGGTATTCAAATAAAAATTCTATAATAATTGAACTAATATTCAATCAATACTTTCTCATTTTAAAACAGCTCATTCTTTTACCTACATTAATGAAGGATATTTAGCTGAAAAATAAAATATTCTATATACTCTAACCGAAATTACAAATGCATTCACAACCTCATTCTCATCTAGAACTACAAGCAGTAAAGTACAAAACAAAATTGCAGTAAAGAGATAACCTCTTGAAAATGCTGCCCAACAGACGATCAATCCTCAAAAGAAAAACCTTTTGATGATCAGAACAAAGTCATCACCAGGAAAAATGAAAAAGAAATCATCCTGTATTATTTAAAATCTAGTTCATTTAGAGAGCATTTACACAGAATAGCAGCAAAATTGTTCCTACAGATGATGTGACATGATACCTTTTTTATGTCTCATCAAGAAGAAGCATCTCTTCATTTATAAAACTTCAGCAGAGCATCCAAAAGATGTAGCTTGTATCATGATGTATTAAAATTTCTCCCAATAATCTCCAATAAAAACTCATTCCATGTATCGATTGGCCCCGGCATACACCAATGCAAGCAATCCTGCGGCGGTGGCTCACCATTTGGCCCCCTCTTTGTCTTCTTGTTTGGATCTGTGCTCCGATAAGGCCCTGGATGCCCATCCGGGCGATAGCCAAACACCTCTGTGATATCCATAAATATAAGCCTGGATCTGTTCCCAGCCTTCTCCACTGCTCGTTGGAATCCGTTGAATTGTTTCTCATGCATCACATCTGTGAATCCATTGCTAACTACTTCACTAACTGGGTTAACTTTTCCGGTGCATGAACCACCAGTATTCCATGCCCCACCTTCATAATGATCCGGCGAATATGATCGAACAATTGCCAGACCAGTAAAATTTGGATGAGTAGCTATGGCTTCAAGAGCCGTCTCCATGGATAAACCAAACGCCTCAACATTACTGATTCTCATATCAACTGTGGCATTTTGAGGGGGAGACCAAAGCTGACCTCCAACAATAGTTTTGTTAAGAATGTAAACTGATTGCTTAGCAAACCAATGGCCTGAGGAAAGCACAACAACATCAAAACCTGGGAGGAATTCCATGAAGTTCTTATCAGGTATGTCTAAATGGACCTTAACAATCCCCTCGGGAGCAAATTCCATTGCCTCGGAGCTGCTCTGAGCAAGCCAGGAGCACCATATGCGTACAATCATGGTTGAAGTGGATCTGAAGAACCACCTATGAATCCTTCTGTTGCCACGGTTTTTAGGCACTTCAACCTGCCAAAGAAGGCAAAGCAAGGACTCCATCTGATTCCTAGCAACCGAATCGCCCACAAATGCAAGGGTTTTACCCTTCATAAGTTGCAGAAACTTCTTCGGATCAAACTGCGGCAACTCACACAGATCTGGCTTCCATCTCCAGTTCTCATATTCCTTGTCAGGCCTTCCATTTCCCTGGCAATTCTGCAACTGTGTGATGATAGGACAGCTATTGTTAGTATACAGAGGTCCATCGGGATTATGAATCCATCTCCCATGGTACAGATCACAACTAGCATGGTCACCGGAGGCAAACATAGGGTTTGGGAAAGGTACTACTAAACCGGCATCAGAATCACTAAAATTGCCACCAAATTCCTTCGCAAAAGAGGGATTTAAACCGATTTCATCGGCACCTAAAGAAGAAGGAATGTCAGCATCATCTTTTCTCAAATCAGAAACAGCACCTGAAGTACCGATATCGACAGCGCGCGATCCACTGACCTCCTGGTGCGGTTTTCCTTGGAAGATGATAAGCGAGGTAGGAGATTGAGGTCTCCAGACCCGATTTATTCCCAAAAAGTAATCCTGGAAGAAGGAACTAATGAGAAGCAGAGAAGCGACGGTTAGAAAAATGGCTGAAGCTCCGACGATGGCGATGATTGAGGGTACTGATCGGAGGACGGCCATGGAGAAAGATTTGGAAAGGGACAGCTGATCAACATGGATTGAGAAAGAAGGTCTGAAACGCGGAATAATGATTGAAGTTTTAAGGGCTCTTTCCACTCGATTTGAGAAAAAACTAATCAACTGCACCTTTGATTATCATATTCCCTTTTTTTTTTCCTTAGTTTTTTTATTGCTATAAATAATTTCGTATTTTTAGTATGAACATAAAATTAGACACAAATTTAACATTAGATATTATGGAATTAAAAATTTTAGACTGCAAATGAATCAAAACATGTCCTCATTTGCCAAAATTTTATTTCACTTTTTATAAATAAAATAATGATATTTTTAATGATATGAATGATTTGGGTAATATAAATATAAAAAAAAAGGCTAGATGTTAGGTAGGTAAATGCGTTGGAGTTGGATGGTATATATATATATATATGTTCTAGCTGAGTGCCGAAGAAGAAAAGGAAAGGGATCGCGTGCGGGAATATAGAATAAAGTCGTTCACGTTTGTGCCTACAGTTCGCATCACAGCCGTTAGCGTCTGCACCCGACAGTTCGCATCTGCGGTGTCGTCTCGCCGCGGTTCTCTTGCGCGGCTTTGTTGAACTGAGGTTTTGACTGTGTCGAGCTCATTTGCAGTTCCTGTCTGTGATTTACTATCTTCTGCGTAGTGCCTCGACCTTTTCGGCCCTCTGCCTGATTTGCAGGGCTTCTCGATGGAGCTTCCTTCTTGTGGTGAACCTGACAAAACCTCATTTGCCCACGTTGTGGGTAATCCTCAGGGGGAGACGGTGGTTGTGTTCCCTTTAAGTTATAAGGAGAATTGTGATGATACATGTAACTGCCCCTTTATTACGAATGCAAACAGAAAAAATGGAAATGCAACACTCTTTTTCTCAGAGTCAAAAATTTCAACCCTGACCGACATTCAAATTTGTTCTATTGGAAAATTTCAGTGGGGACACCCACCTATGAAGGTTATCAGAAAAAGTTTTGATGACCTCAAATTAGCAGGAAAGTAGAATGTGGGGCTCATGGATGGGAGACATGTTTTGATTCAGTTAACCATGCCTAATGACTACATTTAGATTTTCTCCAAAAAATATCTTAACATTGCTGGTAAACATATGAAGCTACTCAAGTGGTCTCCTAATTTCGACTCAAATCATGAAACTCTCACTGTACGGTATGGTTTCTTTATGGTTTAGTTTACCTGGTCTCAAGTTGCATTTTTTTTCACAATCAGGTTCTCTACTCTATTGGGGTCATCCTTGGGGATCTTTTGAAACTAGATTTGTCTACTTTCAACCTAACCAGACCCTCGGTGGCCAGAATAGTTGTAGAAAGGGATATTGTTTACCTGATGTTACTGAAGTTTGGCCAGGCACTACCCATAATGGTTATTGTCAGCAAATCGCCATGGAGCACAAACCCCCATATTGTACCCACTGTAAGATGTTTGGTCATGTTCTTAATAAATGCCACAAGTTTCATCCAAATTTGAAATCTAAGGTTCAAATGAGTAAGGATGGGTCTAACCCCACTGCTCTGGGAATTTTAGTTCCACCTGGGGAGGATACTACCAGACAGGAGGTGTCTATTGCCCCTGAGGAACCCCTCATGACACTGTTGTTACTGTTACCACGAGTGATGTCATGCTGACACCTTCAAACCCCATAAAAAATAATACTGATGGTCTATTAACTACAAATGATACTGTTCAAACTGATAATTAGGAGTCTCATAGCTCCACCTCTTCAGGAAGTATCCGGTGTAGAGACAACTCATACTTCACATATACTAGAACCTATTGTGGGTAATACAGTTGGTAATCCTTCTGCTACAGTTCTACCACCCCATCAGACTGATTCTTCGGAAGAGGAATGACAGGTTTATTCCAAGAGGAAGAAGAAGAATGGAGGCCGACTCCAGCTTAGGAACATATTGGATGATACATTGATTACTACTAGCAATGACAATCATCTTAACAGCTTATTAGCTTGCTCCTACCCTGGAACTAGAGGCAGAGACAAGACCAAATTGGGTCGCTCTCAAACCACCTGATATTATGTATTTCGACACTGTTGGGTTTTTTTTGTATATAATGTATTTTTCTATTTTTTTCTAGTTTTGGAATTATTTGTGATTTTTGTGTGGGCAGTTCTAGTTTTGGAATCATTTGTGATTTTTGTGTGGGCAGAATGTCATGCTTGGGCGCTCACACACACACACACATAGGGCTGTCAATTTGGCTCGTTGTTCGTGAACAACTCGTGTTTGGCTCATTAAGCAGCTCGTGTTTGGCTCGTTCTTTAAGCCTAACGAGCCGAACACGAACAAATTTTTAAGCTCGGAATCTAAACGAGTCGAACACGAACAACAGTTTGTTCGCTCGTGTTCGGCTCGAAATGGCTCGAAAAAAAAAGTTATATAACTTTTTATATAACAATATATTACATATATTATTTATATAATAATATATTTTCTAATTTTTTTTGTAGGGAGCCAATTTGGAGCCGAACACGAGCAGAATACGAACACGAATATTTAAGTCGAGCCGAACACGAACACACTGCTCACGAGCTGATTTCGAACACGAGCTATTTCGAACGCCGAACACGAGCCAAGCCTGAGCTCGCTCAAGCTCGGCTCGTTTACAGCCCTACTTTTGAAGTAATAAAAATTTCATAATAATTAAATATTAAGTAAAATGAAGTCCTAATTCTTATTAATATCAAACTTAGTATCTAAACACCGATTGGTGGGCCTTAAAGGAGTGAATTATTCACACACACACACACACACACACACACATAGGGCTATCAAAACGGCTCGTTGTTCGCGAACAGCTCGTGTT